AAAATCCTTGACATCAGTCTTACAAATATTTTTATGAATTTGACTCTAATAGCAAGGGAAACAAAGCAAAAATAAACAAATAGGATTACATCAAACTAAAAAACTTCTGCATGGGAAAGGAAACCATCATCAACCAGAAAAGATGACCAAAGAATGGCAAAGGATATTTGCAAATGATATTTTAGATAAGGGGTTAATATTCAAAATATATAAAGAACTCATAAAAATCAACAACAAAAAGCAAACAACTCAATTTGAAACTGGGCAGAGAATCTGAATAGACATTTTTTCAAGAAGGACATATAGCAGCTAACAGACACATGAAAAGAGGTTCAACATTACTAATTATTAGAGAAGTGCAGATCAAAACCGCAATGACAATATACCTCATGCCTGTTAAAATGGCTATTATGAAAAAGACAAGAAGTGACAAGTGTTGGAAAGGATGTGGAGAAAAGGGACATTTGTGCACTGTTGGTGGGATTGTAAGTTGGTACATACGGAAAACAATATGGAGCTTCCTTTAAAAATTAAAAATAGAACCATATGCCAGCTATTAAAATTCTGGATATTTATCTGAAAGTTGAAAAAACATTAATTTGAAAAGATATATGCACCCCTCTGTGTATCGCAGCATAATTTACCGAAGCCAAGATATAGACACAACCTAAGTGTCTATCAGATGAATGGATAAAAAAATGAGGTATAAATAGATACACACATACATGTGCATACAATGGAATACTACTCAGCCATAAAAAAGGAAATGTTGCCATTTGCAACAACCTTGAGGGTATCATGCTAAGTGAAATAAGTCATATTTAAAAAGACAAAAACTGTATGATTTCACTTATATGTGGGCTATAAAACAAAACAAACCAAAACTCATAAAGATAACAGATTGGTGGTTATAGGGGGGAAGGAAGTTGGGGGCAGTAAAATGGTACAGGAGCTCAAATGTGTGGTGATGGATGGAAACAAGACTTTTAGTGGTGAGCACACTATAATATATTTAAATTTCAAATTATGTAGCACGCCTGAAACATACATTCTGTTATAAACCATGTTACCTCAATAAAGAGAGAACAAAGTGACTCACTGAGATTTTCATATATATCTACTCCTAAAATGTTTACCAAATGTTTTCTCTGAAAACAGTTTTCTCTAAATTCTATATTGTTTATATGGTATCTATTAAGGTATAAGTGCATGTATTCCTGGATCCAGGAACTCACCAGTGATTTTATACTGAAACTCATCACAATGTATACTTAGAGAAGTAGATTTCAAGTCTCCCCTGCCCAGCCACAGGGGCAATAGGGCATTGTGGAATCTTCCGTCTCTTAACTTTCTTGCATACCAATTAATATCATTCATTGCATTGTTTACTACATATTGAAACTCCATTATGAACCTGAACCTGAAATATCACTTGAAGCAAAAAGTTCATTTGGGAAAATTGTCTTTTCCTACTCTAGCTTTTATGACATAAGCATATAATTAAGTCTCTAAATGGTGTGGCCTATATTTAGATGTTTTAAACATATATGGGTGGAGATGGGAGACTGGAAAAATGGCCAAATCAACACTCCAGAACATAACAACTTGAGTTATTTTTGTTTTCTTTAAGAGTAGCAATAAAAAGTATAGGGAGGTAGGAGAGGGAGTTGTATGGCGTGCTAAGAATTTGCAAAAATACCAGAGAAAAATAAGACACAGGCCAAAGAGAAGAGACCATAACTCTGTTAGAAGGAATTTATGCTTACAATATTTTTAAGATTTTGAGTAAGGAAACTAGTAATTTTATGTTCCCACATTAAATAATATATTGGTCAGGGTTCATCTACAGACAACAAATCCACATTGGCTATTTCAATAAGAAAGGAATTTATTAGAATATATTAAGTGTCTTCTAGAATATTTTCGATGTCTGAAAAACAGCCAAGCTTTAGCAAGACGTTCCGGAGTTGGCTCCCAGAGCCCTGTCACAGAACTGGCCTTTGCAAGGAGCCGCTGCTGCCGCCAGGGTTGGGGAGCATCACCACAGAACCTCTGTTGCAGCCAGACACCCCGCCATGGGACCTAACTGAGCATTCCTGATCAGTGGAACCTAACTCAGATACAGAACCCCAGCCACAAAGCCTATAAGAAATGTAGTTTTAAGCTTTCCAGGAAGGAGTAGTAGAAGAAGGTTGACATAGTTTTTGAACAAGCTCCATCAATCTAATAATTTAAGTTTAAAAGTCCCAGGAAAGCCACTTTGTTTACAAAAGCCAAACTGTCTGCTTTAGAAGTAGTAATAAAAAGACCAGATACTTAAAGAATGATTTTTTTCCTTGATTCTTAGTAATTTTAGGTTTTAATAAATTTTTAAATTATAGTGTTTATTTTTTTTACAGTATAAACTCTCTGCCTTGTGATTAATATTAAATGAAGATAAAAATCAGGGTATTATTTTCACTGGCATTTATTTTATGTTAATATAAAATTTGATTTATTAGATTATCACAGATCTGCAAAGTCTGCCCATGATTTCTAACTTACAGTAAGAGTTCGCCTGTCATCACCTGAGACAGTGGCTTTGTATCATTGTCTGCATATGATGTTCTCCTGAAATGAGAGTCCTACTGAAGCATTTTTTGGCATTGTTGTTGCTCTTTATCTGAACTACATTAAAAAACAGTAACGTCAAAAATAACATCAGCTTATAATGGGCTTACAGCAGTGATGGTAGTTTTAGTAACTGAATCAGTCTTAGGCCAAGTGCCATCAGCTGGCTCAGGTCATATGTTAGGGTATTTTCTCTGTGCTAACACGTAGAACATTGGGGCTTAGACAGATGTAGTCACAAGGAAGACTAAAACCAGCAGTGCTGAACAGTCTCCTCCCTGCTGTAACGTACACAATATAACGTAGGTATTCTGAAGTGTGTGTTGGTGACTTAATGACTAAATGAGCACTGCTGCCTTTTGAGAGCCCTGGACCCCGATACAGTGGCTTTGAGCATTGTTCATAAATGTAACCTGATGGCATTAACCACTTGTTATTGTAATATTTATTTAGGTTTATTTGTGTGGTTGGCAAAGTAAGTTGAAGTTAGAACTGCTAAGTAACGGTAACAAATTAATCTAAAAAATTACTAACCTATACTAGTAAGCTTAGGATTCAAAAGGAAGCAAGACGTGAGTAACTAGGGCAGCAGAGTGAATTTTTTTAAACTTTGCCCTTCCCTAGTAACTGAACTTATTTTCTTTGGTCTTTTCTTTCTTTTTGCTTGCTTTCCCTTTTCAAAGGTAAAAGAAAGCTGCCTGGTTGTTTTTACTCCCTCACCCTACTTCTCCCATCATTACTCATGTGTCCTGGAAGTGGAAATTGTAATTTGGAGAAGCTGACTCAACATGTGTGTTCTTTTAACTTAATGACAGCAGAAAGATTATGAAGAGAGATTGCTATAACTACAGTAACCATTTATCCAAGTTTGCTGGGGACAGTCCCAGTCTACACCTATTAATAGCATCCCCTTTCATTCTCAAAACTGTCCTGGCATGGATGGTAAATTCCATGGCCACCCTTCTTATAACTAAGATGGGCTAAAGGACAGTGTACAAAAATATAGATACCTAAGAAAATATTGGCAGATGTTGAAATTTTGGTAGAACCAGGTTACGTTAGTATCTTATTAATAACAGGGAGGAAAGAATTGCCTTTCCTGACACTGGGCTCTCTGTGTGCTCCTCAGACCTGTGTTCTCTTTTGCGAGTGTTTTCAAATATTGAGGCAGTTATTCTTGTTTACATGCACGAACATTGAACTGCCCAGATTGTTGTGTAATTATAATCAACGAGAGAGCATTTTCAATTCAATAATTTAAAAAATATTCCCAATAAAAATTCTTATTGAAATTATATTTTAGAAACATAAATGGAGATTTAATAAAATGTATTCATGATGGAATTTTTTAAATTTTTAAAAGATTCTATTACTCTATTAATGCTGATAGTTTAGGTAGAGAAAGAATTTAAATGGAAAACATTTGAAACGCTCAACAAACAATAAAATTAATAGAGTAGTGTCTTTTTCAGATACTTCAATATTCTTTTTCACATATAATTTCTGGAAGCAATTTGGTGTTATGTTTCAGTGTTTATTGTAGTTTATAGAAAATGTTTCTTTCCCCTTTCTTGCCCCAAACCACATATTTATTTCCATTGATAGCAAGTAATTTATTTTTATCACAACTGAAAGCGATATTAATATTTTGGATATATGTAATTGAATCCCAGAAAAGTTGTTTTGTCTTCCTTTCTAATACTACCTTTTATTGGTGGATTGAATAAATAAAGCTCATTGTGAAGACCTAGGTTTTAGACTTCCCAAGTAGGTTGTTTGAACTAGACAATACTCCCATGTGAAAGTTCAGTGTTCACTTCTAATATGCTCAATGTAAGACTGCAGGGATTTTTGAGAAGGCAGTAGAGCCTATCATCAATAAAAGAGGACACAGAGGAGTAAAATATTGGATTAAACCTGCCAAAAACCTCCCATACACAGTTTAGACATACAGCTTTCAATTAGAACTAAAACAGTTTCAGTTTAATATCTTGTTACCTTGTTAATAATTAACATAATGCAACAACCCCATCTGCACTGTGAAATAGTAGAACACAATTTCCAGAAGTCTTTATAGTACTTTTTTTAATGTAAAAAACATTGTTTAAAGATCTTACGGGGTACTTTTGTTCGGTATTCTTTTTCCTAATTACTATTAGCACTTTTACAGGATGAAATTTGCGGTGTGGTTCTACTATTGTAAAGATAACCTGAGGTTAATCACAGTGTCGGGCTTTCATTCTGAGTTTTTTAATGAGATGTACTTATTGCCAAAAGAAAACATTCTATGAGAAAGTGCAACCCGCGTCATAATCATTATGATTGAATTGTGTATTTTAGCCTTCCACCTTCTAAGACTGTTAAATTACCATGGTCAGTGCTATACTTACGATTTAATAAAAATGGCAGTTAAGTTATTTAAAGAAACAGGTTGGGTTTCCTTGGGCAGGTTCCGGGCCTTGCTTATCACTAAGGAAAAAGAAAATAAGCTGGTGGTTAGAGTCATGGGGTATAAGGGAACTTAGGGTCCAGGTGACCTTATGGAAATGAGCCCTGGGGGGAGACCTGAGATTCAGCCTGCGACTCTGACACTTGATAAATCCCAGAAAGGTGGCCTGAGCTTCAGTTTATCTATGAATGAGGACAACTCGCACATTTTATCACGTTCAATTTATGACGACAGGAAAGAAAAATCTATGTGAACCTCCAAGGAGAATCTGTTGTTAGTGTTAAGTTGGCAGAGCAGAGTATAAGCCAAAGCTGAAAGGGAAGGGCCAGTTGCTTTACTCGCTGCCTGAAATACAGTCCCACCAGGTACTGAAGCCACCATTTGGGTACAGCCTTGAGGTGCTCTTGCAATTAGCCCTACTTAGAAGGGATTAAGTTAAAGTTTCCCTAGGAGAGCAACTTTCTCGGGATGATTCTCATACAAAATCTTATAAGAAAGTCTGTGGGAAAAGCCACGCCACCGCCCTGCCTTTCACTGGCTCTGACCACCTGCTTTGGAGTCCTAACCCCGAAGCCCTTCAGGTGCTCTTGGTGTTTTCCTAGTCAACAGAGTATATGCTTTGCTCGAAGTAAAATATCTTTTAATAAAAAATGTTTACATTTGTTCTTAATCTTTGAAGCCACATTATACTGATAATATATAAAGGACTGAGTGATGATTTTTAATTGTGTGAAACAAATAGGAAATAAGCAATGAAATGAATAAAAAATACTAGCCTATAAGAACTTCATGACATCAAAGAGAGTTTCTAAGAGTTCAGACATATATAAAAATATACTATATATAAAAAATACTGTAAAGTATATATGTATATTTTGTGTCTTGGAGGGAATGAGCCACTCTAGGACTGAAATAACTTGTATTTTATCTTTGTAATAAGTAGCTAGATAATTAGAGAATCTCCAAGGTCTCATTAGACCTTAACTTTCTAGGAGCATTGCTACCATCAGTCATCATAAGGAACTGTGAGTCAGTTAAAACATTTATCTAAAGGGAAAACTAAAATAATCAAATAATATGTATGTAGTATTCTCAGCGGGGGACAAAAAGGTTATAAAAAAGGGAGAAATAAAGTGACTATTTATTGAGCACGACCACATTCTGGATGATAAAATAAAGGTACTAATAATAACAGTAACAGCAGTCACTAGTAAAATTGGTGAAATGGGTGTAGGTAAAAGTCCCAGATGCCAGGGTTTGGGCTTAAACCTGATGTGCACATTGTCTCGTAATTCTGTGAAACAAATTCTAATACCATTTCCACCCTACAAATGACAGATGTGAGACAGAGATTCACTTACTTACCCAAGGCCACTGAGGCCTTGGAGCATGACTGTAAACCCTGGTGGGCTGGCTGCAGGGTCTGTGCGCTTCCCTCACTCAGCTCCGACCCCCTGTAAGACGGGCATCGTGCTGATGTAGCTAATGGCTCCCTTGTCGCAGGGCAAGGCGAGGTGACTTCTCTGGGGTTACACACAGACCCCACCTGACAGCAGGAATGTTAACCCGGCCCTTTTTAAACATGTACTTTCTACTCTACTCTGCTAATTTTTCCCCTTTATAATTTGTGTCCTTGTAGTGACAGTTAGATGATGAACATTGAATTAGATAGCTGACTATAATTAGATCTGCTTCACAAAAGAAATATCGGCAGGTCAACACTAGGTTTTAGACTAGTAATAAGCATTCACAAAAAAAACACCCTTTTTTGTTTTCCCAACTCGCCACTGGCATAGTTTCCCATAGGAATCAGTTCCTATGACTGAAGTGGGACAGTTTTGCAATCTTCAAACTGCTTGTGTTCCAGGGACTCAACTGATGATGTCTCAGTGACGTTCTTCCTTCAATTCATGGAGCTAGTTAAGTAAAGTGGGGCTTGGTTCATTATTTCTAAATTCTGGGACACTATGGTGAAACGTTTGTGCTTTGTCATGTTCGATGTTAAAGGATATATACAAATAAGGAAATACACATGTAATCTGGGCTTTGGCTAGGGTGGGAGAGGACCACCATTTCTCTACCTCTGTGGGGCAGGAAATAGCTGTGGATTAAAGAAATGCCTATACAGCTTCCCAATTAGCCCACTTTAAAGTGTGCCCTCTTTCCCCAACTGCCTTTAGTTCTCTTTTTTGTTGCTTTCCTTTCTCTAGGGAAGGTGTGGTATGAGCAGCTCTATTTGGTTTGAGTTTGGGAGAATGGATGGGAAGCTGGGTCATTCAGTCCCTGGCTCTCTGCTGATACAGGCAGAAATGGGGCCAGTTAGAGGGGAGTTAAGACCCCAGTTCATTTTATGTATTCCATTGAGCAGCTAGAGAGTAATGATGATTTTTATTGCCTCCTGGCATGAAGTCTGAGAGGCAAACTGACAAATAACAAGAAAATTCAAAATTAAAGCTGACGCACCTTTCTTAAATCTTTCCAATGTGCTTGAGTATGATTATTCTTAATGCTTCTTCGTCCTTGTAAATATACAGGGTACCAGTCAATATATGAAATTGTTTCAGAAAAAGGAAATCTTCCTGAAAACTAAGAACAAAATAGGAAAATACCAGAGAGGCCGGAGGTGTGGGGTTGGATGGAAACAGGTTTCTGAAAGCCTATGCAGATAAATGCAGTGATGTATTTGCAGTGCTAGGCAAAGTTTTTCAAGAATTCCTATCATTTTGTGACATTTCCCTTCTGTGTATAATCCTCAAGTTCAGCCCTATCGTGCGGTCACGTTTTGCTTTTCAGATTCACCGCTCACTGATGGTGAGTCGGGGACATCATCCATATAAACAAAAGGCAGTGCACTGTAACATTTGAAGATGGAAAAGATTCTTCAGTCCCTAGGCAGGCTGACCTCAGGGCTGTCAAGAAGATTATGCTAGCCCAGAATACCTGCTCAGAGAGTCACTGGTGGTGTGGCAGGTGATGGCTGAGGGCTTTTCATGGCCTCAGGCTGTCTCCGACAGAGAGGCGAAGTTGGAAGATGATTTTAGTAGCCATGGTGGGTAAGTCTGACAGAACTCAGATACCACCCCCTACCTCTCTGCTTGCATGAGGAATAATGGTAGGACAAGGTCTTGACTTGTGAGGTGTTCAATATAAATATGAGAAAAATTATCTCCCCTATTTACTGCCCCTCTTTAAAATGAAAAGTTGCCCAAGCAGAACAGGGTTTCATTATCACAGCAGTTTTGCTGATCCAGAGAGAAGGGTCTGCAAAATGCTCACCTTTCCCGCGGAGGTTAGAACCCTCAGGTGACAGCACGGCTCTGGTTTTTCACTCACCCCTGGTTCGCCAAGTCTTCTCATGTTCAAACACCATCAGCTCCAAAGGCAACATGAAAGACTACTTTATCTTTTGAGAGAACCTAAATGCAGGGCGAGATTGTTTCACTTCATAGATTTAGAAATGGAACTTATTATTAGAGAAGCTAGAATTTGAATATTCATTAGTATCCTTGATTCTCTTTTGAGCAAAGACTTGAAAAAAGCCTGGATTTGGAGAGATTTTATTCTTTTAATCGTTTTTTCCCCTGTGCTTTTGGCCTGATGTTAAGTTCTGCCATCTGTAGGACATGTACATATTAAACCTCTTTTACTTACAAGCTTCAGCTCTTTCAGGAAATTTTTTGCTTATGTTACCTCACCGGAAGAAATTAGCTTCTCTTTCCCATAGTCTCTGCATTATTAAAATGCAGCTTGTTGTTCAGTGTTTTAATGGACTCTTTAATGCATTTACACATTAGTGTTACATACTAAGAACAATTGAAGTATTCCAAATAAAAATATTCGCCAGGTAAATGTTCTATTTTATTTGTGGCCATCAATGAAAAAGACAAGCTAGTTATCTTCATGATCATTTAGAAAAAAAAGGAATCTTAACCTAATACAAACTCAGTCTCCTCTTGTCAGGCAACTTATTCACATAATTCTAAGGAAGTCTAGAATGTATTACTCTTTCTTTTTTTATTTTTATCTTTAAATAGCAAAATAAACAAAAACAGTTGCAACTTACTATTGATTATTTAAGTATGAAATACTTATAGCAAATTCTTAATTCAGGTCAGTTGTTTTTTTTCTTTCTGCCAATAAGAAGAATGTGCTAATATTTAGTTTGTCTCTGGCTGGTATGTACTTAGGGATTTTGAACTCTTTAAAATGTGTAAATAAATGCCACTTGGTAAGATCAGCCTGGCAGAAGAGACAGAGTAGAAAAGAAAGTGAGAATAAAATTAAATAATACATCATTTTAGAATTACTTAGCTCACTTTTTGTCTTAACCAAAAAAATAAAAGGATTTTCTCATCAAATATATTCACTGAAATATTTGATATTAAACTTCAACCAAATTAGCAACCTGTAATGTTGGGGCTCTGGATGCCCTCTTTTAGAGCAAAGGGAAGTGGCATCCTTAGCAAATGGAAACGCTCAGAGCCCTAGCTTAAGGCCAGACAGCATCTACAACTTCTGTCCTCTACTTCACCACTCGTTAAGTGGGTAATATTGGCTAAGTCATTTAAATTCTTATGGGTCCTGTTTCCTCACCGGTAATCGTAGAGGCTTGGACCAGATTCATTCAACAGATATATACTGAGCTCTCAAAATGTGCCATGTTTCAGTGAGACATTAAAAAAGAAATTAAAAACAGCCCCCATCTTCAAGGAGCTGAGGGTTCAATAGAATAAACACTGGTAAAGAATAATGTATGCAATATAGAGGTTTTGATACTCTTAAAGAAATATGCATAAGGTACATGGGGGAGCACCAGAACTGGAGTGGTCAGTTCTACCTGGGTTTGGGTGGAAGAGAAAAGATGGATGAGGACTTTACAGAGAAGATGCTCAAACTAAATTTGGATGTTGTTCTCCAAACGAACAAGGGATGGAAGGTGTGAGAGCACAGGACTATAGGAGTTAAGTCAGCATGAAGCCTCAGGACCTAATGGAGGTCACATATGGCGGTGAAATAAGCCTGAGATGAAACGTGCCATGGAAAGTGCTTTGTGTGACATAGGACTCTAGATTTTGTGAGAAGCCACGCCATGGTTCCAAGCAGAGCTTGTGGACGTTCATATGTGTGTTCTAGAAAAGTAACTCTAGAAGAGAATGGCAAAGACTTGGAGAGCGCGAAGAGTAGAAGCAAGAAGGCCAGTGAGGAGACTACTACAGAGGCACATGGGAGAGATGATGGAGATGACAGCAGAAGCTATGGAGTGGAAGGGAAAGTACCCGAGACTGGTGACTTCCTTCATAAATAGTGTCGAATAATACACAGTCCCTGTTCTCTAAAAGCTTACAGTTTAGTGGGAGAAACAAAAAATAAATATGAACATGCAATTACAATAGAATAGGCTTTCTCGGACATAGCACTAATGACATTTGGTACTGCATGATTCTTTGTTGTTGGGGACTGTACACTGCAGGATATTTAGCAGCACTAGATGGCACTAGCCCCCCAACCCTTTGTTACAAGCATATAGCAGATACTCAGGAAATATGAATGCCTACGTAGGTGGATAAATTGATGGATGGTTTGAATGGCTTCCCATCTAAGCCCAGAGAGAAAAACTGTAGTTATATGTAGACTGAGGGCAGTAAGTTCTGAGGTTATACTCCAAACATGGCCCTATTGCCATTTCTAATGTTTGATGTGCTGATTGTGGAGAGAAGCAGGACACAAACTATGGATGTAAAATTCTGTTTTGTTGAATAAATATATAATTTTATTTGTTTATTTAAATACTGTTCTATATTGTTGAGAGAGGTATAACAATGTGTATGTTTGCATTCGTTGCTAGTAATCAACATAGGTCTGGGTACTCATTATAAGCAAGTCACTTTAGCATGTTGTGATAGGAAAACAGGGTTTGGTTTACATTTTGCTTTAGTTTAGATACGAAGCTGTGTCAACCTAAACAAGAGTTTCAGTGTCACTAATCTTTAATTTTCTCAGCTGTAAGCATAACATTGTCTTGAGGATTATATGAACTAAAAAATATATTAATAAAATACTTTATATATAGTAAATTCTCAGTAAATGTTGCTTCCCTTTGCCTCTTCTCCAAACAATGTATATTATTAGAAATTCTAGTTGACTCAGTAAGAGAATCCTGATAGTAATGGCTTAAACAGTTTATTTTCACCCACACAAAAGCAGTCTGGAGATCTGCGATCCAGGATTTAAATGATGATGTCACAAAATAATTCAGGAATCCAGGCTCAACACTTTACCACTCCTAACTAATGGCCGTAGTGCTCAGAATTCCTGCTGAAGCACCAGTCACTACTACTGTGTGCCAAGCAGCAGACTAGACAACAGGGTGAAGAAGGTTAGGCCCTCTCTCTTTTAAGGAGCCTTCCAAAATGCATTTCTGCTCCAGTAAGTGTGCTCATGTAAATTCTTTACTATCTAGCATCTTAGAATATAAATGACAAAAATGTTGTAGGATTTAAAGACTCCTATACCTAAATTTATTTTACCACCTCTAAATTAGTGTGGATACATGTATATGTATGTATATATGTACAAATGTATGTATTGCAAAGTAAATTTGCTATATTTTAATGTAGATTTTCAGAAATGGAGTTTATTGGTTCTGACACTCAAAAATTATTTTTTTGGATAAAAGACTTAAATGGTAGACTTAGAACCATAAAAAATCCTAGAAGAAAACACAGACAGTAAAATATTGGGCATTGCTCATAGCAATTTTTTTACTTTTTTTCTGTCCAAAACTGTTTTATTTTTGCTCTTTTTTTAAATTGTTTCTCAGTTACAGTTATCCCACCTTTTTCCCTGTTGCTCTCCCATGCCCGCACCTCGGTCTCGTAGTCAATGCCTACACCATTTCTGTGCCCATGAGTCCTCTGTTCATGTTCCTCGACTTGCCCCTTACCCTTCATTCCTCCATTAACCCTCCTTCAATGTCAGTTCTTTATTTCCATGTCTCTGGTTCTTTTTTTGCCCTTTTGTTTGCTTTGGTGATTAGGTTCCATTTATAAGCAAGATCATACGGTATTTGTCTTTCACCTCCCGGTTTATTTCACTTACAATGCTCGCCAGTTCTATCCATCCAGTCATGAAGGGCAGGAATTCCTTCTTTCTTTCTGCTGCATAATATTCCATTGTGTAAATGTACAGTGAATGTCCAGGTTTTGGATCCACACATTTACTGATGGGCACTTAAGCTGTTTCCAGCACTTGGCTATTGTAAGTAGCACTGCTATGAACATCGGGGTGCATAGGTTCTTTTGAATTGGTGTTTCAGGATTCTTAGGGTATAATCGCAGGAGTGGAATCAAAAGGCAGTTTCATTTTTAGTTTTTTGAGGAAATTCCATACGGTTTTCAGCAGTGGCTGCACCAGTCTGCGTTCCCACCAGCAATGCACTAGGGTTCCCTTTTCTCCACATCCTCGCCAGCACTTGTCGTTTGTTGATTTGTTAATGATGGCCATTATGACCAGTGTGAAGTGGTATCACATTGTGGTTTTAATTTGCATCTCACTGGTGGCTTGTAATGTTGAGCATTTTTTCATGTGTCTGTGGACCCTCTGTATGACCTCCTTGGAGAAGTGTCTGTTCAGGTCCTTTGCCCATTTTTTAATAGGATTGTTTGCCTTCCTGGAGTGGAGTTGTGTGAGTTCTTTATATATTTTGGAGATCAAATCCTTGTCTGAAGTATCATTGGCAAATATGTTTTCCTATATGGTTGGTTTGCTTTTCATTTTCTTGTTTTCTTTAGCCATGCTGAAGCTTTTTTTTTTTTAATGTACTCCCATTTGTTTATTCTTTCCTTTATACCCTGTACCCTAGGGGATGTATTGGTGAAAATATTGCTGCATGAGATATCTGAAATTTTCCTGCCTATGTTCTCCTCTAGGACTTTTATGGTGTCACATCTCATATTTAAGTCTTTTATCCACCTTAAGTTTATTTTGGTATATGATGTAAGTTGGTGGTGTAGTTTCGTTTTTTGCATGTACTTGTCCAGATCTCCCAGCACCATTCCCTACTCCAAGACACATCATAATTAAAATACCAAATGTTAAAGACAAAGAGTGAATCTTAAAGGAAGCAAGAACAAACAGATAGTAACATACAAGGGAGCTCCAAAAAGGCTAGCGGCTAATTTCTCAACAGAAACACAACAAGCCAGAAGGGAATGGTAAGAAATATTCCAAGTCATGAAAAGCAAAAGGCTTCAACCAAGACTAATCTACGCAGCAAGGCTCCCAATTAAAATGGAAGATAAAATAAGAAGTTTCCCAGACAAAGAAAGGCTGAAAGAATACACCTCCACCAAACCAACATTGCAAGACATGCTAAAGGTACTGCTTTAAGAAGAAAAAAGAAAAGAAGGAGAGAGGA